TGAATTATTTACAAACATTTATGGGTCAGTGAGCATTTTCCAAATATTCTTTAAATTTTCTTAGTTATAAAAGCAGATCGAGTCCAAACTTGTTACAGTCGTTCCGAAAAGTTCCCATCAACAACCAGAACATTTTAACATCATAAGATGTCTCATCTCGTTATAGCCATTGTTTTCAGTTTAGTCTCTTGTGCCGTAGCTAGACCAGCAATTGTCCGAGTAGCACCTTTGGCTCAAAATTTAGCTCTGCCAGCTCAAGAACCCCCAAAACCCTACGAATATGGATATGAGTTTGGAGATGGTCTGGGCATGACACAGCATCGTCGTGAAGTTGCTGATGGTACTGGAGTAGTCAAGGGTAATTACGGATACCTGGATCCCATTGGAGTCTACAGGAGAGTTGAGTATACTGCTGGAGCCGATGGGTACAAAGCAGTCATCCACAGCAATGAACCAGGACTCTCAAGCCACACTGTTGGAGATGCTGTCTATATAGTGGAACTTCCACCTCCCGCTGCTGTTGCCCAAGGTCTTAGGCCTGCTGCTGTAGCTGTAGCATCGGCTTAAATGTACAAGTAAAATTATAATACTTGTAAACTAATAAAATGATTGGAGCATTAATGTTTTGTTATATTGTTTCACAGTTTAAAATCGAGAGTTGTTGATTAAGAATTGATGTATATTTAACAGGTTATCAATAGAGAACCAAACTATAATGTTTGGAATTGAATTATTTCAGTAAATCTAGGAAAAAAAACTTAACTTTAGAATAGTCATTAATTAAATTTTTAAAAAAATTAGTCAAAATAATTAATAACAATAGCAAAATAATTCACAAAAACCACTAAAAATATTTTGTTTTCAACTTTTACATAAAATTAAAATGTTTATGAGAAAGAAGAAATTGTGACGTTTTTATTTCAAAGACAAAATATTAAGTTTTTATTATGCTCAAAACAAAAAACTTCAAGATTTAAACAAGGACAAGTCATAAAATTTTAGAAGCAACTGGAATGAGAATTTGACAGCAATTGTACAGCACACTATATTCTTAAATGGATAACTTCATTTCTTATAAATTGTTCAGTTAAGTACAGTAAATGCATAATTGAATTTGAAGTTTTAATTAAATATAGTGAGAACTTTATCCTATTTATCGAAAAGCCAAAACTATTGTCAAGAAAATGTGAGGAAAACTATGCACATTAAAGAGAAAAAAGACAATGCAGCAATATAATTGCATAAAACATAAAAACCTATATAGAATATTAAAAAAATATATAATGTAAAGGAACGAATAAATATTTAAAGCATATACCTATTTTTAACGATATTTTCAAAAAAGATTTTTTGAGTCACAATTTCCCTAATTTTTACTTTTTCAGATAATTGTAGTTAAGCAACATGCCCTTTTATTATTTGATATTGTAAGTTCATTAATTATATATGTTCATTAATTTTAAAAATTTGGAAAATTTATTTGTTTTAATTACTCAAATAAGATATTAATAAAACTTTTAAACAAACATGGATTTGTGAAAAAAGAAAATTTGTAATATTAAAATTTAATAAGCAAAATAATATATGATTGGTAATATTACAAAAAAATATAAAAAAGAAAACAAAAATTATTGAACACCTTAATATTTAAAAAAATATTGAATAAATAAAGTTTCGTAATTGTAGTTATTGTAAAGCTTCAATTATTACTCTTTTTAACACTTTAGTATTATTTTATTCATTTTCACAAAAAAAAGTTTATTCAAAAATCAATTTAAAAGCATTGTGTTAAAGCATTAAAATCTAAAGAATTATTATACTGCATTTCTTAAAGTGCAATGTCAATTTTATTTTCAATTATTNAAATCTCTGAAACAGCAGAAATAACAAGCAAGTTACGAACTCATACGATAATAAAATTATTTTTTTCAATCTATTATTATTATCATTGTTGTTAAAAATATTATTTAAACGAATTTAAATAAAGAACATTCAGTTCCTATGGGCAAAAAATCACTAGGACATCATGAAGCAAATCCTCATATTCATAAAATTACTTAACTTTTATCAACGGGTATAAGATAGTTACCGCTTCCGCCGACTCAGATTTTAGCCCTAATTATAGCAGATTAATTTATAAACTACTTGTTGTTGTGAAGGCATAAATTACCTCTAATGGTACATAAATCCAGGTTAAGAGTTTCATTGACGTCGTGTTAGCCATCGATGATTTTATTGGTTTTCCATTGCATGTGCGACAAATATAGATTAGTTTTTCACTAAAATAATTCTCCACAAAGGCAAATTTAACCGTTAATAAGCTCAAAAAATTCTTGGGTTTTTTTTCATATTAGGTTTGCTTTAATTTTTGAAAGCATTTTTTTTACAAAAATTTTTAGATAATAGTAGTTGATGTTCTTTATTTTTGGCAATAAGAGAATCAATTTAAAAATAATTACGAAGTACAAAACGATCGACTATAAATAGTCTTAATTTCAGATATATTTTACTACTAACTTAAAGTAAATTTTCATAAAATTGCTACCAATCTCAAAAAATTTAAAATAATTAAATCTTAAAATTGAAAAAAAAAATTCCAACGTTCTCCATTACATAAACAGTTTATTAATATTCATTATCATTTTATGTTACAGATTAAGAAACATTTTAAATTATATAGACCTCAAAATATACCTTGAATCAACCTATTACATACCCATGAAAAACTAGAAAGAAAAAAATTTAACATATTGTTGAAAATAAGAAATATATAAAATTTGAAGTAGAGGTAAAATTTCTATATGCGGCTACACTGTCAGAAGCTTCTCGAAAAAAATGGTTAAATAACAATGTATTTAAGTTTTATTTTACCATATTCAAACAAAACAATCAAACAACCATAAATAAGAAAGTAATCAAACTGTGAAAAAAAATTGTTTATTAACTGCTTTCACCTAATACCTTTTAACAAACGGAATTTTATGGCACCAACTAAACCCACCTAAAGAAGCCACTTAGTTTCTTTCAACTGCATTTATATTATAGTTGAAAAGGTTAATCTGTCATTCTGATGGTCAACAGAACTGGGGTACACCACAGTATTCCCATTCTATTCAGCACAAGGAGAGCTTCTTGCGTCCTGCACTCTCCAATTCCCATTCCGTAACGAAAATCCCACTTCCTATGTCCAACTAAATTTATTTTTTATGGTTTTGAAACTATGCTAGTTGTAAATGGTTAAAAATACCGTAAAGGTGAATAATGTCTCTTACCGTAAACTTTTCGGTTATTCGGATCGACAGACTGCTGTTGGTTATTTCACCATACTCTTAGAATGAGAATTTTAACAGTGTATGCTGCAGTAAATAAGTAATTAAAAAATATATGTAATTAAAATATCAAAAAAATTAAATCGAGCTAGATTTGATACTCAAATGCAAAAGAAAAAGAGAAATTGGGAGCTAAGAAAACGAGCTAAAATAAAAAGGAGAAAGGACATTACGACATCTGGTCGTTAATAAACATTCAGAATTCTAAATTTTTTAATTTGTAAATTTGTTTGTTTTACATATTAAATATTATTTTATGAACTAACACATTATGAAACCTATATTTTTCACAGACTACTTACTTCAAAAGGATTTAATTATGCAAATTTTAGGGATGTTCACTGGCTTTCTTAAATCAAATAAGATATATTTTTTAGATTGAATTGTTGAAATTATTTTAATATTTTAAATTTTATTAATTCAGTAATTTTCGGGAATTTTTTTCATTATAATTTTAAAATAGAAAAAAGAATCATGGACCTAATAAAATAAAGTAAGTTTCCAGGTTTTTAAAGACTAATCTTTGAATTCAAATCATGTATCTATGAAAAATATGAACTGAAAATATATATAGTGATTTAATAAGCATTATCCAGTAAGAATGCATTGAGACATAATGGAATCAATCGATAATATTTAATATTAATGTTGATAAATAGACTTTAATTGAAACTTTGAATTCGTTTTTGTCTTTTGAATATAAGACATAAAGTGCCAATTACAATCGAATAATTTTACTAAAAAAAGAAAATCCAACTATAATAATACATTTTATGCAGTGATGCACCTTAAAAATGCAATTCGTCTTATTTTCAATTTTAATTTCTTTACATTAAAGAAGGTATTCAACTAATACAACTCACTAACTAACTAAAAATAGCTTAATAAACGGTGTGAAGACAAGACAAAAAAAAACATTTCTTGATCGACACTTAACTTGGAATAATTGATTCAGAATTCAATTTATTGAATTTGGAAGAAAAAAATGCCAAAAAAATACATTTACGATGTATTTCCTCAAAAAATAACACATAGAGTAGAATAAAAGAAAAGAGAAAAGAGAGAGAAAAGAACACATAGAGTAGAAGAATTTAGGATTTTTTTTAATTTAACAAAAACAAAAATGAGAAAGCCTTGTCTGGTTTTGATATCAATGAACAGAAGGTTTTTCGTAAGATATGTTGCTGACACACCTAAAAATAGTTTATATAAATTCTTAAAGACTGAGCTTTGAATTTAAAAAGCCATCATTTATGAGTTAAATTCTACAGATTTTTTTAAATTCAACAAATGAATTATTTGCATACATTTATGGGTCAGCAAGCATTTTCCAAATATTCTTTAAACTTTCTTAGTTATAAAAGCAGATAGAGACCAAACTTATCACAGTCGTTTCCAAAAGTTCCAATCAACAACCAGAACACTTTAACATCACAAGATGTCTCATCTCGTTATAGCCATTGTTTTCAGCTTATTCTATTGTGCCGTAGCTAGACCAGCAATAGTCCGAGTAGCACCTTTAGCTCAAAATTTAGTTCTGCCAGCTCAAGAACCCCCAAAACCCT